GGATCATTTGTTCCCATGACTATGGGCTTTAAACAAAGTTTGGGCAGCCTTTTTGCTTTTAGAGCTTCTTAGAACACTTCCTTGTAGACTTGGGGTGGGCTGAGTTTTAATTTTTGGGTGAACTGAAAATTAAATCTCTTTCTATACTAACAAAAAAAATTGGGTTGGGCTGGGCTAGAGCCCACCCTAGACTCTACATAGATCCGCCCATGTAAGTAAGTGACTTTTCGAAGTCCAATTCACTTTGGGTTCCACCCTTGACCCACGAGTTAATGAAGTTTAGATTTCACCTTCAGCTAACACAAGTATCTAGGGGGCTTCCTTCTGAATTCTACGGTAAAATCGTTGACAGGTTTATTGTCATACCTTATTTTTGAGAACGTGATTAATTATATATGTTCACTCTAGACCATTGTGTTCTTAAAGTCCCGTATCTATTAAGCTCCAAGAAATAATAATTCTAACTCATTTTTTCCTTAAAATTATCATTGATTAAGTAACCTTATCGGCCTAGGATCTTAAATTGAATCAAGTATCTATTGAGGATTTGAAACAAAACGGTTATCATCAAGGTTCTAACAACTTAGAATCTACCAATCCAAAAAATATAGTGACATTAATAGACTTCTACATAAAGAAAAGGGAGAAGAATTATTCCCTTGGATTTCATTGGTAGTGATTAATAGTGAAATATTCCCTTAGATTAATAGTGAATAACCTCCCCACCATCCTGTCGGGTCGGAGGAGACTTGAGGTTGGACATTCAAATATTCCCTTGGATTTTCTCAACACTCAACAACATAAGTACATGATCAAACTTTTTGGCATGTCGAAGTCATTCACAAACATAGGATTACCTTCACACCTTAAAACTTTGTCAAGTTTGACCGATACAAGAAATAATGAAATAAAAACCGTATGATTGGAGTTTGTGCAAAAGAGAAAAAAATAACAGGAATAACAAATTAGTTGATTACAAGGGAAAGTGACAAAGTTTTTTGGGACATCCCAAAAAAGAAAGATGACGAAATTTTAAGGGCCGTAGGGATTAATTTAAAACCCCAACAAGAAAATCTTAAAAAAAATCTCTCATTGTATAGGACATTTGATAGGGCCTACTCACTATCTGTTAGCTTATGATAAAATGCTCATTTACATCCTCTCAATTAAATGTCTGGTGGATATCAAGAGGCTTTAGGGAGGCATTAATATAAGTTGGCAATATGTGATAACGGACTACCCGGCCAAACTAAATCTCTAGTAGATTCATTTGATGAGTTCAACAATATTCTCATGGGAATTTTTAAATGCACGCACTTATTTACTAAACACAACATCATATATCCTAACTTCCTAATATATCCTTCTAACAATACCGGCACGACCTTAGCTTCCGGTGATACCGGCGGCGGCATAGAACAAATAGCAACTACATTCTAGTAGACAACAACACTTCAGCTCTGACCACCTACCTCCGACGGCGACGGCGGGAGTCCGAATTGCCGCTGAAACCAATAATAGAACCGGCGGCGGCATAACGATATCGGCGGCCAAATCTTTACACTGCAGGGCTTCCGAATGTCTTCTTCTCGACGACCATGCAGACGAGACAAGAAAAAACTACAACCTAGAGAAGTAGCAACACCAATTTCTGATAGCAACATCAATGATAATTCTCCCAAACCTTAAACTGCCAAATCATTTCTTCTTCTCGCTGCAATTTCCAGTAATAACGCTCGCAAGTGTGATCTTTAAAATTAATGGCTGCGACCTATATATACCCCTGATGGATAGTCTACCCGGGGGGTATATATCCGAGGGGTTATTGCTGAGAATAACTTAGAGAGAAGTCAGAGCACAAGTAAGTAAGAGAGAGAGTGTGTTCAGTATGAATGTCGTTAAAGCGTTTAAGGCGTGGTTACAAATGGGGAAATGGGGTGCTATTTATAGTAGCAATAAATGCCGGACAGGGACACGTGTCAAGCGCCCATTGGCCGAGAGGTCACCTCAACTGGTTGGCGTTGGCAGCCGCATGTGGCCGCATTTAATGCTGCTGTTGGATGGGACGTCTGTACAGGGTACGGTGATCTGTACGCATGTGAGGCGGATATCATGTCGGGAGAGGTGCCCTCGGCTGCAGAGGACTAGCCAAGGGCTCTTAGTGCCGAGGACCCCTGAGTGCCGAGGGCTACTGTTTTCACCGTTTTCTCCCAGTTCCTCTGTTTGTTCGAAATATCCACGCTGTGATAGTTTGGAGCCTTCGGCCAGGGGGCCGAAGGCACCCCTGGTGCGCATTGCGGGCTGCTTGGTACTCTGGGCGCCGTGATTTGGGCCTGCTTGAGCTTCCTGGGCCGGTTGGGCCTTCATTGGTGTAGTAGGAGTCTGTGGGCCGGGTGTTCCCGGGCCATATACTCCATCATGAGTCCCTCACTCCTTTTGCCGAAAGGTACTTGAGGGAAAATGAGTAATTTGTGCTTGCCCTTTGATGTTGTCATGTCGTAATCTCTGAAGTTGGTGAGGAGTTGTTGCTTTTATGTCCCTGCCGAAGGCAGCCCCTCAGTTACCCACATGTCGGGACTTGAGGTCTTGCTTTGTCGTTTGTTGGAATTTCACTAATTTTGTAATTTAATGATTTTCCCGAGAGGGTTCTCCAGTCCCCCACTCCTTGAGGCACTTGTAAAGTGGTGAAAAGGAGTAGAGTAGTTGCGTTGCTGTTGTGGGCCGAAGGCTGACGCTTTTCATTTCATTTTGGGGGGATGCCTTGTTAAAAACCTCATTAGGAAAAACCCTGTGGGAAAAAATCCTAATGAGGGAAAAAGAGTGCACCGAATTCCCCCAACGATGAATCGAAAATGTGAAACCTTGGTCAAAAATGGAGAATAACGGTAATGCCGAAGGCTCTCTTTTCTGAGGGCTCATGTGTTGATTAGCCGAAGGCTTGCTGTTGATGTCCTGGGGGTGCCGAAGGGGAGCCCCTCAATCTGGGGATCGAGGGCATGATGGATGAGGGCAGTAGTTGAATTGTCGCCGGGGGGTCCCCCGCTCGTTGATTAGTTGGTGATGGGGATATCCGGGGGCTCCCATTACCTGCATGCTGTATGCTGTCCGTCAATGAGGCATACTTCCCGGGGGCGATTCGGTCCTTACAGTGCTGAGGGGGAATCCCCGAGGGGTGGCCCTATATGAAGCCTTGGGCTTCTGAAGAAGTGATGCCGAAGGCGTCCGTTATGTACTGTGTGGGGCACAAACCGGGGGCGTCTCTGGGTAAGTGTACCCGGAGGCTCTCCTCGATGAAGTGGAGTGATGTGGGAAAATCCGGGGGCTCAAAGAATGTAGCCATTGGAAATATAGTCGTTGGAATATGTAACGTCAGGTTATAGCCGTTGGGGGTACACGTGGCGCGTGGCGGTTGGCTGCCCGTGGGCGGCGTCATTGGTTGGGTGAAAACGCGGTGCGTAATGATGACGCTTGGCCGGAGGCCCAGTTTTTGGGCCCAAGCCCGGAATCTGGAGTCTATAAATACCCTATGGCCAAACCATTCTCCTTGTGCGTCCGATATCATTAGCGAAGCTCTGCCAAATTTTCTAGAGAGAGAAAGCTCAAGCCCCCGGTCAAAACTCAGCTTTCAAGGTCAGTGTCCTACTTTCCTCTCAAAACTTTTAGTAAGTTCCGCCCTCTGGCCTTAGATTAGGGTTAGAGTCCTGTAGAAAGCCTTCGAAACCTCAGGTGCGTACTTTGTCAAAAATGTCGTCCGCGAGCGATTCCTAGGACATCTCGAGGGACCCCTCGGTCGAGGATGAAAGCATCTCCGACGTGGAGTCTAGTAGCAGTCAGCCCTCGGATGGTGGTGATGCAGCTCTCGCCACCGAGGTGCAGAAGGATCTGGTGGCTGAGGCCGAGGCGGAGGAGTTCGAGCGAACCGCCGAAGATGAGGAGTTGGCCCTCGCCGTCCAAGTTGCTGAGGAGGAAGAGGAAAAGGAGAGGGCGAAGGTTACTGTGGCCGTCCTTCCCCCTCGGGGTGCTGGTGAGGCCAGTACCTCTCAGCCGCTGAACGCAGTTCCCATCCGGGTGGCCCCTGGGAAGAAGAAGGCCAAGGTAGCTGCCCCCAAGAAGAAGATCGTTGCCGCCGATCAGGGGAAACCCATAGATATGCCGGAGGGGTATTCCTGGCTCAATACTGCTGCCTTGGAGATAAAATCGAAGGCGGACAGGGCGGATCTCTACGTCACGCAGCTACACGTAGGGCCCTCGGCCGTGGTGGTCGAGCCGGGAGTTGACGATGTGCTGTCTCGGGCGCCCGAGGGGTGTATTGCAGTACACGTACTGTCAGTCTCCATGGGCCTTCGGTTCCCTCTGCACCCCTTCCTTCGGGAGTACCTTAGGTTCGTTGGCTTGGTCCCCTGCCAGCTCACACCTAATAGCCACTCCTACGTGGCGGGTTTTTTGAGCCTCTGCAGGGTCCGAGGGGTGACCCCCAGCCTGGACTTGTTCTTCCAGAGCTTCAACCTCTGCCGAGGGGGTCACGCGAATGCCGAGGGCTTCGCCAACCTGCAGCAGATAGCCAGGTGGAAGCTATTTACGGAGGCGCCTTCGTCCAATAAGGGCTGGAAGGAGCGTTGGTGCTACGTCAGAGTTGCCGAGAACCCATTTCCGGCGGAACTTCGGGATCGCTTCCGTCAGCATCCGAAGGTTGGAAGCGCCGCTCTCGAGAAAGATGGCCTGATAATAGCCAAAATCCCGGAGGGTCGCACGAAGCAAGTGTCTATTAAAGATCACACTGCCGCCAAGGAACTCTACACCCTCGGCTTTCGGAGATACCGCTTCATTGGGGAAGCGGACGAGAAGTATCCCGTTTTTGCTGAGGCCTTCGGGGGAGCAGGAGGTAGTCTACGAGGGCCCTTGGTTTTCATATCTTAGCACACAGTTTATCTGTTCGTTCTTTTATTCCTTGTGCCTTCGGTTAGTAACCCCTCGATTTTAACCCCATATTATTTTTGCAGGTATCCCAGTGAAAATGATGAATGTCAAGGGGCTCGCAGATCTGAAGAAGAAAAAACCTTCCAAGGCCCCGAGGGGGACGGATGCGGGTGCCCCAAAACCCGCCTGTGACTTCTTCAAGAAGCCGGAGGGGCCATCGGCGGCCCCAAACACTGATGCAGCTGCCGCTGCCAAGAGGAAAGGCACGGGCAAGGCTCCTGAGATCAAAAAGCCCAAGACCGGGGACGCCGGGAAGAAAAGCCCCCCGGTGGTCATTGTTGATGATTGCCCCGCCTCCGGAGCGCACGAGGAGATGCCGGTGGCGAAAGTCCCGGGGGGTGTCCGGGAGCCATCCTCCGAGGTTCTGACGAACTCCGTCCCGGTTGGTACGGCTGTGATGAATGGCACGGCGGATCCGAGGGCGCTTCTGAGAGGTATAACCCTTGATATTGACAGGGCAGCCCTCGGGGATGATGACGACCAAGCCCTCGAGGACAGGATCCTCCGGTCTTCCCTTACGGTGAGTTTTTCTTTGATAGTTTACCGTTTTGTTTGAGTTAGGAAATAATGTACGGCCTTCCTAACTTATCTCTCCTTTTTTTTGTAGACCTGCATTGCCCTCGGAGAGCAAGCCCGGCGGCTAGAGGAGTGGCGCCTTCGCAAGGCTGAGCAGGATGCTAAGATGCGGGAGCTCATCCGCCAGAATGCCGATGCTGTCCGGCAGATGGCTATGCTGGAGGAGAGCCTTCGGCAGATGACCCTGCGGGCGGAGGCCGCAGATCGGGGCAGGGCGGAGGCTGAGAGGTCCGCAGCTGAGGCTTTGGAGAGAGCTGCCAGGGAGGCCGAGGCCGCGAAGATGGAATCCGTCGAGAGAGCCCGAGGGGACGCAATCTCGGGGTTCTTGGCAGGGGGGTGGCGGGCCGAGGAGCACAAGCAATGGCTGTCCTCGGTCGTCGAGTCCTCGGTTGACGAGTGGTGCGATGGGCCCGGTGTGGAGTGGGTTTCCCGAAAGGGTAAACAATATTATGATGGGGGCGAGTTTTTCACCCAAGCCCTCATCTACCGGAGGATGGCTCGCCACTTGAAGATTGAGCCAAAGGACTTCGACCCGGCGGCATACGGGCTCCCCCCTGCATCCAGACGTCCACGTTCCTCTCCCCTCCGATGTCGAGAGGCCAGACCTAGAGGATACAGAGCTCATGAAGGAAGCCGAGGGTGACGAACCTGAGGCCGATGCAGAGGTTACTTCGAAGCCATCGGAGGAGGCGGCCCCCGGAAATGATGTTGTTTAATTTGTAATTTATACTCAGTAATTTGAACACACTTGTAATGGTCACATTCTTATGCTTTCGGCCCCGGCCACCTTTGTAACTATCACATTTACTCTTTTTTTTGCCGATTGATGAATGTCTGCCTTCGGGCTTTTCATATTTGAATGCGCCCTCTGTTTGAATGTATGCCTCCTCCTTTATGCTTTCCTCACGTATGAATGTATGGTGGTTTAGTGATGGCCGAAGGCCATGTCATTGGGACTTAGAAAATTTCTGCAAATGTAGTGTGTCATGTAGCCCTCGGCTACCGTGGAGCCCCCACTGGAATGTTGATTAGGCCGGGGGCCAATCTTTAGGACTTAGAAAATTCTTCTCAGTGTTGATTCCTTGTGTACTGTAGCCTTCGATTGATAGGTAGCCTTCGGCTATTAGGTCCCTTGAGATGAGGGTGAAATATGTAGGACTTAGAAAGATTTTTAAGTGTAGATTTTCCCTTTGGGAGCCTTCGGGAGATGGCATCCCTTCTTGATGCATGAGTAGTTGACCGGGGGAAAAATATGTAGGACTTAGAAAGATTTCTATGTGTAGATTTTCCCTTTGGGAGCCTTCGGGAGATGGCATCCCTTCTCGATGCATAGCCTTCGGCTGTCATATTCCCTTAGCTGTAATATTGATTGGGCCGGGGGCCCATCTTTAGGACTTAGATTTTTTTTTTTCAAGTGTTGCTTCCTTGTGTCGCCTTCGGGTGATAGGTGCCCTCTGACTCTGCATCACTTTTGCGAGATGCCCGGGGGCTACTCATTTAGGAATTAGAATATTTTCTAAGCGTAAATTGATGTTGAGCTTCCGGATGTAGATCCCTCCGGTATATGAATAGGACCCTTCGGGTGATCGTGAGGCCCTTGTGTTGTATGAGTCTTTGGCCGATGGCCAAATATGTGGGACTTAGAAAAATCTCAAAGTGTGCCGTGGATGTTGAACCTTCGGCAAGTGAGGAGTCCGTCCGAGGGGCAACTGTTTTGGAATAAGCCCCCTCGGTCTGGCCTTTGATGATTTGTAATAGATGCCTTTGGTTGTTGTCATTTTCCAAAAGTGTGGACTCCTGTTGTTGTAAAGAAAGCCGATGAGGAGTTATGTGCCCTCGGCATACACTTGAAAAGTTGTAGAGTTTGACTTAGCCAGTTGTGTACCTTGTCATGGGGTAGGGGCCCTCGGTATTAGTGCATAACAGATGCCCTCGGTATTTGTTTGAGGTACCGTTTAGTGGACTTTGGATAGTCCAGTCCCTTTGTATTGTTGAAGCTTTTGGGGCTTGTGTGACCGGAGGTAACCAGCAGTGGACTTAGCCGTTTCTTGATGATATTTGTTTGAGTAGTATCCTTCGGGAAATAGGAGCCTTCAATTACCGGAGGTGTTCCTGTGGGGAGCCCTCGGCATGTTGTGATCTGTTGGAGTGTACTCTTTGATCTCTCGCTGAGTCTACTCCCCTTCACCCCCCCCCCCCCCCCTTTTTGGTTGGTGGTGAAAGGAAGGCATCAAGAAACTTGGTTTCTTGGCAAGGCTGGGCCTATCAGGAGACCATCAGAATACACCAATGGCTCTCCTCCCTCGGGTTAACCTTCCGAGTTCCGAGGGGATCGAGGGTCGTTTCCTGGGTACAAGATATGATGGTCTGTAACCTGCCTCCCCTTGGGGGATGGCGCGGAAAGCGCCTCATTTTTGAAAGTCGTCCTCTCGGCGCTAGACATAGTCCGTGGCCTGCCACACCCTTGGGGTGGTGGCGCGGGGAGCGTTTCGGTTTGGAAGTCGAATCCTGGGCATTTCTCGTGCCTGTCATACCCTTGGGGTGATGACGCGGATAGTGTTCCGTTTTTGAAATTCGAATCTTGGGCATTTCTCATGCCTGTCATACCCTGGGGGTAGTGACGCGGAAAGCGTTTCAAGGAAGGGTTTTCATTTGCACACTAGTTGCAAATGGCCGGGGGCACTACGTGCCGCCGGCACCGATGGTGGCGCCTTCGGTATATGCGTCCTCGTGGGGTACGGCTTTTAGAAACAACACTTGGTGTTAGTTTCGAAATGTAGCCCCCGGTACTTGGTACCGAGGGGTCTCCTGTAGGAACACTCAGTGTTCTCCTTCTATTTGACGTTGATGGGTGAGATATGTACCCCCGGTACTTGGTACCGAGGGGTCTTCTGTAGGAACACTTGGTGTTCTTATCTTTGACGTTGATGGTGGAGATATGTACCCCCGGTACCTGGTACCGAGGGGTCTTCTGTAGGAACACTTGGTGTTCTTATCTTTGACGTTGATGGTGGAGATGTGTACCCCCGGCACTGGGTGCCGAAGGGTCTTTTGTAGGAATGTTTGGTGTTTCCTGTTGCTGGGGATGGGAGTCCCCACCTTCGGTACTTTGTACCGAGGGGTCCTGTTTGAAACACTTGGTGTTTTCACTGTTGTTGAAGGTGTTGATGGTGTCCACCCTCGGCACTTGGTGCCGGAGGGGGTTCTTCTCGTGGTGAGGCCTGGGGCCTGTAGTCGGTATGAGGGCTTGGCCGCTCATAAGTGTTTTGCGGTTGTTCTTGGTGTCTTGAATGTGTCTTCATTCCTCAAAAGCGGAGGCCTTCGGCCATAGGATAATACATTAACTAGTTATGAGGGCTTGGCCGCTCTTACATTATTGATAAAATTTAACTAAGTGGTGTACATTCCAATGCCTAGGGACCTCTTTCCCGTTGGGGCGTTTAGGTTTGTAAGTTCCAGGTTTGATGATGGCTGCTATGATGTAGGGACCTTCGAATTTTGGTGCCATTTTGCCTCCCTCGGTTGGTTGGCTTGCTTCCCTCCTCCGGAGGACATAGTCCCCCACTTGAAATTCTCGGGTGCGAACCTTGGCGTCGATGTAGCCTTTGACTTGCCTTCGGTAGTTTTCTGCCCGGATGAAGGCTTGCTCCCGGCGTTCTGAAAGGAGGTGGAGGTCGAGGGCCATGTTGCTGTCGTTGACCTCGGGGTCATATTGGATCACCCTCCGGGTGGGAAGGGTGACTTCCGTAGGAGCTTTGGCTTCAAAACCGTAGCAGAGGGAGAAGGGTGTTTCACCTGTTGCTCGCCGAGGGGTGGTGCGGTAGGCCCAAAGGATGTTGTGGAGTTCTTCCACCCAGCCATCGCCCTCGGCCTCCAGCTTCTTTTTGAGGCCCTCGAGCAAGGTCCGGTTGGCATTCTCTACTTGCCCGTTGCCTTGAGGGTAGGCAACGGAGGAGAAGGTGTGTTTGATGCCCCATGCCTCCAGAAGGGCACAGAAGGGGGCTGCCTCAAATTGTGTCCCATTGTCGGAGATGATCTGCTGGGGGACGCCAAACCTTGTGAGGATGTTCTTGAGGACGAAGTGACGACACTTCGCCTCTGTGATGCTGGCGAGGGGTTCAGCCTCCACCCACTTGGTAAAGTAGTCGATGGCCACAATGATGTATCTGTTGTTGGAGGTACCCCTCGGCAGAGGGCCCACAAGGTCTATCCCCCATCGAGAAAAGGGGACAGATGTGCTGATGGGGGCATAGTTGACTGCTGGCCTGCCGGGGGCTTTCTGGAAGTGTTGACATGCGGTGCACCTCCGGGCAAGGTCAACACAATCTCTGGCCATGGTTGGCCAGAAGTAGCCCTGGAGAATGAGCCTTCGGGACATGGAGAAGGGTCCCTGGTGAGCTGAGCAAGTGCCACTGTGCACTTCCTCCATTGCGACCTCGGCTTCATCTTGATGAAGGCACCGAAGTAGCGTGCCATTGTAAGATCGTTTGTAGAGCCTTCCATCTTCGATGGTGTAGCTAGGAGCCCTCAGCTTTGCCAGTTTAGCGCGGGTCTCATTCTCGGGTAGCTGCCCTGTGGAGATGAAGGCGGTGATATCTGAGATCCAATCCTCTTGGCATTGTTGTATGTTCATAACGGGGCTTGCATGGATACTTGAGAGGCTGAGTTCCTCAATTTTGGCAATTTTGGAGATGTGCTCGGGGGAGTCGGCCGAGAGCTTAGATAATATGTCGGCCTCGGAGTTCTGAGCCCTCGGTATTTGGGTGAGAGAGTGTGCCTCAAATACCTTAAGCAACTCCTTGGCCGCTTCCTTGTACTGTTTCATTCTTCCCTCCTTGGCCTCATATTCCTCGGAGATTTGGCCAACGACCAACTTGGAGTTGCATTTGATGTGGATCTGCCGAGCCCTCATGTTGGCAGCCAGCCGAAGGCCACATAGGAGGGCCTCATATTCGGCCTCGTTGTTGGAGACTTTGAAGGAGAAGCGGATTGCATAGTAGGCTCTGAAGCCCTCGGGAGTAATGAGGACTACCCCTCCCCCGCATGCTTTGGTCGCGGAGGAGCCGTCAGTGTAGAGGGTCCACCAGTCGTCCGAGGTAGCCGAGGGCTCCCCGTCCGTGGGTGCCCTTGCGGTACACTCCACCACGAAGTCCGCCAGGGCTTGGCCCTTGATGGCAGGCCTCGAACGGATGTCAATGTTGTACTGGCTCAAGAAGATAGCCCATTTCACCATGCGGGAGGAGCTGGTGGGGCTCCTCATGATGGCGCCGAGGGGTTGATGAGTGAGGACCTGAACCGGGTGAGCCTGAAAGTAGTGGCCCAACTTCTTGACGGTCCAAACGATGGCTAAAACCGTTTTTTCCACAGGAGAGTACCTGAGCTCGGCCTCCCTTAGGGTCTTGCTAACGTAGAAGATGGCATGTTGGATGCCGTCTTCCTCCCGGATGAGCACAGAGCTGATGGCCGCCGGGCTGACCCCAAGGTAGAGGTAGACGGTCTCCCGAAGGCACCCCTGGTGCGCATTGTGGGCTGCTTGGTACTCTGGGCGCCGTGATTTGGGCCTGCTTGAGCTTCCTGGGCCGATTGGGCCTTCATTGGTGTAGTAGGAGTCTGTGGGCCGGGTGTTCCCGGGCCATATACTCCATCAACCCCAATAAATCTTCTTGCATGGTAGAGTTTTGCAGTAGCACCCGGTCCATGTTTGATGAAGCCATACTTTTCAATAGCATCCATGGGTTGTCCAGTTACGTGGATAGTTTAAAAAGTAAATACGTGAGTCTTCAATTTGATGTTTCACACCATTTGTAATTGGGACAAGTTTTCCATAAGATTCGGTGGTCATAGTACTCTTTGCAAGGCTAAGTGTTCACCCCTGTAATATGACAGAAGAAAAACAGAGAAATAAACCAGAGAAGATAAGATTAAGCATACATGTTGATCTATTGATCTGTTCCTGGAAAAACTCCAATCAGATTCTTGATAGTTGAAAGCTTGTTTACTATGAAGTTACAGCGGCAGAAAAGGATGAACTAAGGTTATTTTTTGATAGTTTAATGGTCAAACTTCATAGCCTAAGAGTTTTTGCATATTACAGCAGCGATTGGGACTGCCGTCATCACCATAGGAGGTTGCTGCCTCGCTGGTGAGCTGTTAGAAGCTGAGTTGTCATCTCCTGGAACTTTGTTGCTAGTCGTTCCATGCCAATATCTTCGAAGCTAAGTGCATCTCGTATTGTCAGAAGGATATATTAGGAATTAAGATATATGCGGGCGTTGTTTAGTAAATATGTGTGTATTTAGAATTTCCCTATTCTCATTGCATTAGGCTTAGATCTTAGTGGCTTGGCGCCGTGGCCCAGTGAAAAAACATACGGCCCTTTAGAATCTCATGATGTTTTTATTTGAAGTAAAACTTTTTTATTTGATTTTTTAAAGTCTAATTAGATGTGTGGTCTTTGTGTATTTATGGTGCAGTTTCATCTATTCTAATTTAATTAAATTTGGTACTCCATCCTCGAATAAATTCAAATAAAAACCGTCAATCTATTCTTTTTTTTAAATAAAAACAGTCGATCTCCGTTTTCTTGGTTCCACAAGAGAAGAAGAAATAAAATCACAGTCAAAAGCAACTCACTCTCAGTCCTCTCTGTAACCGCAATTTCAGTGATCAACTCTGCCATTACAAAGAAAACGACCAATCCACCACTACCCTCAACTGCCGTTTGCTTTGCTCCGACACTCTTTACTTTCGAATCTATGTTTTAGCATAAATCAAATGGAATCCAGAAAAGCAGAACCCATTTCCCATCGGGTGACCGGGAAACCGGACTCCGTTTCTCATCCGGTGCCCGATAAAGCAGATTCGGGTTCTCAATCTCACCCGAACTCGGATGAGCCCGAAAAAATCACCGCTTCAGACTCTTCGCCAGCTAGCTCCGACGAAATGGAATACAAAACACCAGAACCCATTTCTCGCCGGGTGCCCGGGAAACCGGAATCATTCTCCCATCCGGTGCCCGCGAAAGCGAAAGCGGGTTCTCTCTGGAATCTGATGGAAACCGGGGAAGATGCTGCTACAGATTCTCCGCCAGCTTGCTCAAGCCGAATGGAATCTAGAAAACGGGAACATGTTTCTAGCCCGCCGGCAGAAAAACTGGGATACGTTTCTCATTCGCCGTCAAGGAAAGGAAAATCAGTTTTTCACCGGAATTTGCAGGATACCGGAAAACCCGCTGCTTCAGAGTCTTCGCCGGTTAGCTCACTCCGAACGAAACCCAGAAAATCAGAACCCGGAAAGGAGATAGCTTCAGCTTCTTTTCCAGCTAGTAATCACAAGTATACTTCCAGCGGAGACGGTGTTACTGAAGAACAAGATTTGCCGCCGCGAGAGTCAACGCAGAGGTCTTCGATTTCTTCCGACGTAAGCTATCTAACCCAAGAATCCTCCCCGCGGGAAGAAAAGGCAATTATGTGCCTTCCGGCGCCGGTGGAGATGGATCCCAGGCAGGAGGTGATGGTGAGAAGGTCATCAGAACAGGATTCTTTGGCCTTGGTGGTGATTGATGAGTACGCCGGAGATGTGGACGGCGGTGCGGGAGGAAGCAGGGGCAGCGAGAACCGGCGGAGGTTGAAGGAAAGGTTGTCGACGATGAGGAGGTCGCAGAGAGAGAAGATGTTGAAGAAAGCTGCTTTGGGTTTTCGGGTTTTTGGATTTATGCTGTGTTTGGTTTCCTTGTCCGTCATGGTGGCTGATCGGAAACAGGGCTGGGCTATTGATTCTTTCGAGCTTTACAAGGAGTTCAGGTCTTCTTCTTTCTGAGTACTTCTCTGCTTAGGCGTTGTTTGGTAAGACTTATTTGATTAAAATAAATTGGGAGAACTATCAAATAAGCATCGAATTTTCATAAAAAATGGAAATAAACTCTTTTATAGGGGATTTTGTCCGCCTGCCGTCATTTGGGGAGGTTTTCGGTAGAATTTTTTGATGAAAATTTTTGAGCATCTTCTTCATTAAGTCTAGTTTATCCATATCAAATTTCAGCTAAAAGTTCAATCGAGAAGGAAGTCAAATGATTTTCTGAAATATACTGCGCTGTCTAAATGCGCTGTTATCTTCAAAAATTTATTTGACTGCCTTCCCGATTGAATTTTTACATGAAATTTGGTATGGGTAAACTAGACTTAATAAAGAAGATGTTCAAAAAATTTCATCAATACAATCCCGGAAACCGCCCCAAATGGCGACAACCAGATAAAGACTCCTATAAAAGGGCTTATTTGCCCTTTTTATAAAAGTTCGAGGGTAATCACTGTTAAAATAGGAAGGTAATCACTGTCGATAATGCGTTTTGACCATCATTTTAGGGATCAACTTATTTAGCACAATCTACGGAGTACTACCTAACTATTCCCTCTTTATTTAAAAGTTTGCTACATTTTCCTATTTAGAATATACTTAAAAGTTTGCTACACTCTCCTTTTGGTAAAATTTTTCCTTTAAAAATACTTAGTTACTTTTACTTTTTCTACTTTTTATCTCCGTCTTCATACTTTAATTTTCAAAAATACTTAAAGTTTAAGTTACTTTTCTTAAAGATGAATTGGTTGGAGTTACTGTAGAACATCATTTTACCTATTTTCATATAGTTTTTATTAATTTTATCAAAAAGTATTCTAAATATAGTTTTTTTCACAATTCAGTAGATTCAGACGCTTCAATCGATCGAAATTTCATCAATTTCAATCGATTCAGCCAATTTCAGTGGTACCAACTACCAAACAGGCTAGAGTTGTCCATTAAAAAAGATACGTATCACTAAAGAGATGTTTCGAATTGATTCTGCTTCTGCTTCTACTTCTTTTTTAAATGCGGAAGTAAAATGAGAATATTTTCTTTCTTCTCAGAAACTAAGAAGTCTCTGGCTCCCATTAGTTCTCCTGTCTTTAATAAGTGTACCCGCACGGGTAGCTCAGTTGGTTCAGTGGTGGGAAATTTGGACCAAGTGACCAAGGTTCGAAACCCGCAGCGGTCGTGTGGAGGTCACAGAACCTGAAATAAGGCTGAGCCTCTGGTGCGCACGGGAAAAAGGTCTACCATCATTGGGCCGACTGAGTCACCGTGATTAACATCCTCCCAAAAATCTTGTCGGGTCGGGGTATGAGGGACTCCTGGGGTGGGAGATTCCACCTTTTGGACCAAGTCTTTAATAAGTGCACAACTCCCTCTTGTCCTACTCTTAGGGGTGGAGTTAGAATATTTAGAACGTACAAACCGAGATTAAAATAAGTATAGTGAGAACGTTATTTATAAGTATAGTATAGTCAATGGATATATTTGCAAAATAAAATGTCTCTACTTGGTATATGAAAATTATTCGAAAGTAGAGAGAATATGTCAAAAACTGTTTGTCTTATTATTTTGGTGACAAGTACAAACAGGCCGAAGTGTACTACGTAGTACGGAGTACTATACAAAGTGTTAATCTCGGTCGTGTTCCACCATTGTAGCAAATCCACATGGCTATCATGGTATGGCTCAGTTACATACTTAATGAGTCGAATATAAAAACTTATCTTTGAATTAATTAATTCACGTTTAAAGAAAAACGCACCATTTAATACTCTCTCGCTATTATAAAGTTGGGAAATCATCATTGACCTCCCTTGAAGTTTAGTGTATTATCACTCACACCCTTGGACTATTAAAAATCAGGATCGGCTTGACACATTAAGAGATCCGGTGTGAATCACACAAATGAGGCTTTTTATTAAATAAAATGCATAGATCTAATGTGTAGACGTATGTTTGCTTTTATTTGGAGTTGGGCCGTTCGGTGTGGTGTATAAAGGTGTTTCAAAAATGCAAATGGACTCCTATTAATAATTTAAAGAATTACGTACTTTATAGAGTACTCTTCTGGTCAGGATTCCTGACCGGAACCGCCATCGAGACAACGGCGTTTGGGGCCCCTCCTGGTGAAATTGTTTTATGAAATTTTTATGTCATGTTATTCATCTAGTCTAGTTTATCTACAAAACAAATCAGCTAGAAATTCAATCGGGGAGACTGTCATATGATTTTTGAAAGATAATTGCGCCAGAATATACATATAAAACACAGTTAACTTCCAATAATTATTTGACGATCTTCCCGATTGAACTTTTAGCTGATATTTTTCTTGGATAAACTAGATTCGATGAAGAACATGTCATAACAATTTCATCAAAAAAGTCGACCAGGAAGACACTGAAACGCCACCGTCCGAACGACGGTTCTGGTCCAGAAATCCGGACCTGAATATTTCTCTACTTTGTATATATATACTATTTAAATTTTTTAAAAAATGGGCCTGCTATTTTTGGAGGCCCTGTGCAGTAGCCCAGCTTGCACAACCTCATCTACGGCCCTGTTAAAAATGTACTCTTACCCCCTCTCCATCCTACAATGATGATTAAGTAACTTTTGATTTACACTTAGAAAATTATAGATATAGTTCCATAACTTTTGATTGTTTGCACTTTTAATGTTGTAATATTATTCAATCACGGATCTAATTGGATAATCAATAAATGTGTCCACATCAAAGGCCGTTCCACCAGTCGCTTTATGCCTTTGAGTTTAAAACTAATTAAATTGAAAAAAGGCGATCCAAACATGCTAAAATTGACCAAAATTGAAACAAACCAAACAGCACTAACCAAAACTAGCTAACACTAAATTAAAGTATAGTCTGTATTTTGTTTATCGGTTTCACTATTCTCAAAATTTACCTTAAAAATAGAAGCAATTAAGCGAACTATCTACAGTGAGGTCAATTTTGATCATTTTCTATTTTATTAGATTCAATTTGTCGGAAGGGTCTTTAGTATGGATAAATTTATTAATTATTCGATCAAATCTGTGTTTGCATAAAATTACAGCATTAATAGTGAACACAATCAAAAGTTAGGGAACTATATCAATAATTTTCTCTAAATGTAAATTAGAAGTTACTTAACCATCATTAAAGGATAGGGAGGGGGGTAAGAGTACATTTTTTGATCCAATAAAAGGTGGAATCTCGCACCCCAAGAGCCCCCACCTCGACCCGACAGGATGGTGGGGAGGTTAATCACGGTGACTCAGTCAGCAGAATGACAGTAGGCCCATACATCCGTGCGCACCAGAGATCCAGCCTTATTTCAGGTTCTGTGACCTTCACCCGGTCGTTGCGGGGATTCGAATCTTGGTCTATTGATCCAAATCTCCCACTACTCGACCAATTGAACCACCCGTGCGGATAGAGTACATTTGTAATACTACAGGAGTGTGAGTGATAATACATCAAACTTGAAGGGAGGTAATTGATAATTTCCTTATAAAGTTTGTTACATTTTATTCTTTGGGATGTACTTCTTATTTAAAAGTTTGTGACACTTTCTAGTTCCATTAAATTTTCTTTTTAAAAAAGACCTTAGGTAGGCTGGTCGTATCCACCTCGTCCACGACCCCGGTTGCCATGTCCTCGCTGTCCACCGCGACAACCTCCACGTCCTCAGTAGGGCTGCTGGGCCGAGCCTGTCCGAGATGATGAGCCGGCAGTAGCGGCCGTAGCGGATGCTCCAGCTGTGGCAGCGGCAAAAGCAGGGCCCATGACGGAATTCTCCTGACTGCGTAGGTAAGCATGACGTTGTTCCTGATGAACTAACTTTGTTCCTGATAAGTGACTCATAATAGGGACCTAAACCAAGGAGAGTATATTGGTGTAGGTCATGATTAGAGACAGGAGAACTAATGGCAGCCAGAGATTCCGCAATAGCTTGTATCTCGAGTAAATACTGGTCCATTGTCTGATTTTCTTTCTTCTTAGAATGACTAAGAAGTCTCTTAAGCTCCATAGACCTAGCGAGACTAGCCGCCATAAACCTAGCCTCGAATCTTTCCCAAATAGTAGAAGAATTTTTCAGGGAATGAACTTCAACTAACATATCACGAGAGAGGGTAGCAAACAATCAACAACGCATAGTTTGATCCAGTTTTAGCCAATGATAATACTCGGAATTAGTGATTTGACATTGATTAAGATCAGTGGTATACAAAGGAGGAATTGGTATACTACCGTCTAAAAATCCAAGTAAAGCAGTGGAGACTAAAAAGAATTCAAATTGTGTTCTCCAGGATAGATAATCTTCAACAACATTCAACTTGGTTGTGACAATATGAGTGAAATTGGGTGCCGTAAATCCCATAGATTGGGAAATATCTGCTAAAGAAGGAGCAAAAGGAGGTACCTCAGTAGAGCGTTGGCCAATTTGACCCAAGGCACAAGGCAAGGCTAAGCCGGGAGACCTAGACATAGTCGGACCGGCAAAGTGAGGCATGGATTGGGCTGCTGCAGCATTGGTGAGTGGCGGAAGTTGTGAACGGAGCGGAAGCGGTGAGCCGGCAGAAGAAAGCGGCTGCAGGGCAGGTGCCGACGGAGTCCATGTAAACATTGATGGTTCCCAGGTTCCGAAACCTAGGGTAGAGGAGCCAGTTAGCGGCGAAGAAGAAAACGGTGGTGCGGGAAAGCCACCAACGCCGCTATTGCTATGCATCATGGCCGAAGAAGAAGACAAAGGGATCACCGGAGTTGTGGAGGCAGAAGACACCCTGGTGGCCGGCGCAGCCGAAGGGATCGGCGTGGCCGTGGTCGACGCAGATGATGCGGCCGTGAGAATAATGGAATGACGTACCCGAATAGTAGCCCTGAATATCATATATATAATGAATAAGGTGTCCAAAACACAATAGGAAACGTAATACATAAGGAAACCTATTTAATATTCTAAAATACATTATTACATTACCCCTACTACTTTTCTTCTTAAATAATGTGCCAAATTCATATGTAGCAATCTGTAAAATACGCAGGGAGTATATAAAAGTTAAAGTTAAATGTATCTTCTTTCTTTCCGAACGTTATTATTGGCAGATATAAAAATCTAATACTAAGTACAAAATATATACTCCCTCCGTCCCTTATAACTTTGCCAACTTTCCTTTTTTGGTTGTCCCAAAAACTTTACCACTTTCCCTTTTAATCAATCAATTTGTGGCTCCTGTAATTTCTCTCTCCTCTGCACAAATTTCTACCACACACTTTTTACTTTATTATTCTACGTGTCGGTCAAACATGACAAACCTTTAAGGGACGGAGGGAGTATTAAATTTCTTAAACCTTAATATGATATACAGTAATGTTTATGTTTGGTCTAGTCTGATCTGGTCTGGTCTCATTTGTTTGAGTCTATTCCGCCTGACCGTGTCTAGTCTGGTTTGAAATTGAAATTAGTTCAAGTGAAAACATTCTAACTAATTCTTACTCTATTTATTTATAGGACTTGAATTAAATGTAGTGATGAGAAGAAAGTGGAAATGGCAGGTACTCAACGACAGTCAATGCAATAGGGTTTGTGTACTCAGGAGCACAGGCAATTGGTTTGATTTATCACCTTGCAACTGGCAGGAATGCTTTCCACCACCCTTTCCGCCATCTCTTTGATTTTACAGTAGATCAGGCAAGTTCATTCATCAACTTGACTTTTAATAATGGTAGGGGAGATACTGATGATGGTTTATTCATGTCTATATGTGAATGGTATATGCATTACCATTGGTTGAGAATTTGAGTGGGCAGAGATAGATGAATAGGAGGCATACCTGTGAAAGTTTACCAGAGCTTGCTTGAAATTTCAGGTGATAACATACCTTCTAATTTCCGCGTCGTCTTCGGCTGCCACACGGGTTGATGAATGGCGATCCAACTGGGGAAACGACAGGTTCCCGGATATGGCGAGTGCGTCTGTGACTGTGTCCTTCTTTGCCTTCCTTTCGTTGGCTTTCAGCTCTATCATCTCTGGTTATGTTCTTTGCACTTCCAGATCTATGCACATTTAAAGTGATTTGGTGTTTGCATGTAATTTTACTCTTTTGTAACAAGCTGTTCATTCTCAAGAAATGTGTAAACCCCCCTAAGTCCAAGGAATTTGAGATTAAGGATTGGGAAAGTTTAGTTTTCCAGGTAACGGGAAGTACATCTTCACCAGAGGGAGTGACCGAGACTGATGACTGGATAAATCGAGAGAGCAGATAGAGTGAAGCCTTGACTCATGACTTCAATTCCTTAACAGTTCAATATTGCTCATCACATAAAGCTAATGGGGACATCAGTTTTGAACTGGAACTGGTATTGGTACTGTCGGTTATAGAAACAAAACCGATTGCGATCATATGTTGTGATAAACGCCAGGGTCTCCTTAGAAAATGTAGTGTCAATCACATTTTCACCAGAAATGAAAATTGAATTAGTTCCTAAGAACCAGAACTAGGACCTTGTTATTTAAGTTTCTTGTGCATTTCTATCATATTGAGGATTGATACTGGTGGTTCCAAAATTGGATCTGGCTAGGAACAGAACGAGTACAATGATTCAATTTACCCTTCATATGTGTTTTAACAATACTATTATTCAAAATTTTAATAGAAAAATATACGAAGTATACGAGTACAGAAATTAGATTAACTGCAATCCTTCAACCTCTCTTTACCCATATCATTTCTGCCACAATCAATGTTTTATATTTAGGTTGATCTCCTTGATTCTTTTCTGGTACACTTCTCATCCTGCCAAGCCCCGGCGTCGCGAATCCAATACATCGAATTTAGAAGAGCAAGGGAGTGAATCATATGCAACGTCTATTTCCTGTAAATCCTGTAATAGTGAATCTCCCACAAGTGAAGGAGTGTGAGTACACACATCCTACTAAAGAACTTTCTTTCAATTCTTAAAAAGGGCTGAAGGACATTGATAACCATTTGTGATAGACCTATCAGGCTATAACAAAGACAACTTTAAGAAAAAGTCGAAAGACCATCAATCTTGAGTTTTTATGAATGATTTATTTTAGACAACGTAATAATAGCTTATTAAGAAAACAAAGCCAACACTGTCATATGTTCACAGTACTCCCCGAGTAGCACTTCTTACCTAATACTTCCAGAGTTCCAGGTTGAATGTCACCATGAATACAACCAATGCTCCATTTTTGGTATTTTTTTTGTTTGTTGATGCATTGGAAAGAAATTTATGGTAATTAACAATTAGGACTGGTACTGTTGGTTATTGAAACAAAATCGATTGCGATCACATGTTCTTGTGATAAAAACCGGGGTCTCCTTAAGCAGGGCCGGCCCTGGGCCTGTCTGCCCAGCCCAACCGCACAAAACAGAACAGAACCACCCTGGTTGTTGGTGCAAAACAGAACATGCCCTAATGCCCTATTGCTTTTTGGAGCAGTATAGCTTCCATAGTTTGCAAACACAAACGGCACAGTTTTTTATACCATCCCACCACTCCCATAGCACAAGTATTTGATAGCACATGTAAATGACAGGCCCAACTTTGTCCTATGCAGGTTCGGGCTAGGAGTGGACTCGGGCCGGGCCAACCAGCCCAGAACTGGACCAGCCCGCTACTGTGCGGGCCCAGACCGGCCCGGTGAACCAGTCCCGGGCCCAGTTCGGGCCACCCGGCCTGGTGGGATGGCGGTTCGGGCTCGGGCCCTTCAAAAGGTGAACCGGCCCGGCCGGTTCAGGCCCGGGCCGAGCCAATTTTTTTTTTTTGATTTTTTTTAAGTTTTTGGGTTGGGCTGGGTATTTTGGGTCATTTGAGGTGGTTAGGGTTGGTTTGGGGGCGAGGGGAGGGTTGGGGGTTAACTAGGAAAAGCCAAAAAAAAAAAAAAATAGAACCGAGGCCCGGCCCGGCCCGGCCCGGACCCAGGGGTTACCCGGGCCGGTTCCAGGCCTCCCCTTCATGAACCGAGGCCCGGCCGGGCCCGAACCGGTCCATCCCTAGTTCGTGCTTGACAACTATTATCTTTTGAGCAAACATCACTTTTTATCTTGTACTTTACTCCACATACACCTACAAACATGCTCACACACAAATACATACATACATGATACATACAACAAAACAATTTTTATGAATAATCTGACTACTCGTTTGATTCAAGGACTGAGGTACCATTTTTCTATTGTTTAAGATAATACCCAAGCCAACTTCATACAAACAAGTATAACTTCTACGGAGTACAAAATTTAGAGTACCCCCATTTTATTTTTTTGATTACAAATCCCCACTGAGTAAGAAACAAATGGGCTTTAAAGAATTATAAATAAAGCAATGGTACAAAACTTAACACATAGGTTGGTTGTGCAGTTGGCGGGAACTCCAAGTTGTGGTACTATTCAAAGGGGAAGAAGGGAGAATGATGGTTGGCAGCCTCATGCTTTCTTCAACATGAGGGAAATCAATGGTGTAGTGAAGGCCGCGGCTTTCGTGCCTTGAGAGGGCACTACTGACCACCAGCTTGGCACAACAGAAGAGATTCCTCATCTCACAAGCCTCCAATCCAACCATGGTTGACCCCCAACCATGCTTAAACAAGTATGTTTCCCACTCCGTTTCCAGCTCCCTGATCATCCTCTCGGCGCTTTCCAATCTCGTTGTTGACCGGACGATCCCAACATATTCCCACATTATCGACTGCAGTTCCACCCTCACCTCCCTTGTCCGTCTAACGATTTTCCCCAACGTCACAACCCCCAATGATGTGGGGACCGTCGGTGGAGCCCACCAACCCGAAGCACGTCCCGACCAAATCAAGTGGTGGTCAATCGAAGGCTGAACGGCTCTTCGTGCAAACACCAAAGCCTCCAGTAATGAATTGCTAGCAAGGCGGTTTGCTCCGTGCAAGCCCGTGCAGGCAACCTCGCCGGCTACGTAAAGGCCCAACACATTAGTCTCGCCATGGAGCCCGGCCCGGACTCCGCCGCACATGTAATGGGCAGCGGGGATCACGGGGATGGGTTGCCGGGTGATGTCAAGCCCATACTTGAGACACTCTGCCGCTATGTTAGGGAAATGATTAAGAATGTCTTTTCTGTTTCTATGACTGATGTCTAGAAGAACATACTTTTCACCACGCTTTTTGAGCTGGTCATCTATGCTTCTAGCTACCACGTCTCTAGGTGCTAGTTCTGCTCTCTCATCATATAAGGGCATGAACCTCTGCATATCCAAGTTATAAAGGATACCCCCATCCCCTCTGACAGCTTCTGTTATCAAAAAGGCATTTTCACGGGCATTGGTTGGTCGAAAGGGGAGGCCTTCATCAGCTAGGGCAGTTGGGTGAAACTGGACAAACCTATAAAGAAAAAATATTAAAAGTTATTATTACTGAGCATAGCAACCCTCTCTCATGCAGCTTGAATTAGAGGTTACTTACTCCATGTTAGAAATGACAGCCCGAGCTCGATGAGCCATAGCTATTCCATCTCCGGTGGCAACCTCCGTAACATTTACCACAATATAATTAGAATGGTTCATGGCAGTAATCATTTACACTATGTTTGGGAAGAAGGAAATAAGTAGTTAAAATATGGAGAGAAAGAAACTTTACCTAGTTTGGTACTTCGGTAGGGAAAGGGAATAGGGATGGAAATTAGACCTTATTCTCCATCCTCTTCTTCCAGTCCAAAATGGAAGGAATATTCACAATTCATTATAAAAAATATACAGTGCCTTTTAATATTGTAGTACTTAAGATTTTGAAATTTAAATTGTGTATGTTGTTCTTTTTATAAAACTCATATTCTATTTTTCCACTGGAGTACTACGTATTTCATATCCACTTACAAACATATTGTATTACTGTCACTTGAAACTTTTGGAACATCTTCTACGGAGGAAGAAATAGTCAATTTGGAAACAACTTATTGTCAACCGTTTTCTCTTTTTCTTATCATGAATACGATCCAGGATTCTATTTGATCATCAATCCAATTCGCCTTCACGTTTTCTCTTTTTCTTATCAATGAATAGAGCTCTTTTCTTGCATTTGTAGTCTTTTTGCCCTGATGGATTTATTTCTTACTGAATAAATGTCTGGGATCTTGGATTACAAATTGGTGGACTACTACGCAATCCGAAAGTTTATTCAATAATATTAATGAAAAGAGTCTTCTGGAAAAATTTATTGAATTCGAGGAATTTCTATTATTGGACGAAATAGTTAAAAAAGACGTGGAGACACCCACAAGAATTTCTTATAGGAATCCATAAACAAGCAATCCAATTAATAAAGATACAAAATGATAGTGATATCCATCTTATTTTCCGTTTAACGACAAATCTAATCTGTTTTTTTTAAGTGTTTCTGCTATTTCGCGTAATGAAAACCTAAGTATTATGAACTATTGGGCTCGGGAATTCTTATATCACCTCAATTAACAAAAAAACATTAAAAAACTAAATCTGATTACTTTCACTCGGTTTTTATTTTACTTTAATTTAATAGAAACACATGAGCTGATAATAAAGAGAAATAAAATTCATCTTTCCTTCTTATTTTCCTTTTCTCCAGTTACAATTTCTCAAACATAGTGATAAAGATAAAAGAAAAGATACAACTTGCCAAGGATCAGAGCATGACAACTCAAAACCACATAGAACATAAGATGTAAAAGTTATAGAAGAGAAAGATGTGAGCCCCTACCAGAGGATTGGTGGTTGATGGATATATATGCCCAGCCCCGCCTGATGCAAGCAGGGTTACCTTTGAAAAAACCCTTACTACCTGCAGTTCAACCGGAAGGGACCCAACAAAACCATCAATTGAAAGTCCCTCACAATATACAAATTTAAGAATATCCAAGTAATGAGAACAAACTACATATCTTACCTCCAAGGTTTCAGTATTCAAGGTGTCAACTCCATGGCATATTGAGACAGAACCATCCTGCAGCAAGAATTCACATTGATATAGTTTAATGCAATCCACGCCTAAAAGTATAGCTAACCACTTAGCCCTGTTTGGAACGTGAGAATTATAGGGAAAACACAACATGGAGGGAGATTTAGGAGATATTTTAAAGTAAAGAAACAGTGGGGGGGGGGGGATAAAGCGTTAGTTCAGACTCAACTTTTTCCTATTTGTTTAAAGACTAAGAAATCTAAACATATTTAAGAAAAATAATTAAAACACTAGTCATATGACAACTTCCTTTATATTTTTTGTGAGAAAACCAAACACATGAAAGTAAACTTAATAGCATTTTCCCTATTCCGTATCATTTCCCAGGACCTATACATATCCTTGGAGTGTTTCATAAAACATCATTACAACGTTCAGTCATCTATCATACTCAGACTATTGTTCCATTGGAAGTTGGAACTTGGAGGTCAAGTAGTGATCATGAAACTTTCTAGTACAAAAAAGGGAGCAAAGAAGGTAACCTGAGACGTAAGCAAGTCTATAGCAAAATGGTGGTCAAAAACATATATATTTGGATCTTTTTTTACTGCCTCCAACAATGCCCTCTCTATTTCCCTGCCTGTCATATCTGCTGCATGCACGATTCTGTGATGAGAGTGCCC